TCAGAATGAACCAATGACAGAAATGATCACAAACCAAATAGTAGCAAGAGTACAGCTGTCAGAATCAAGAATTAATAAAAGGAGTTAAAAAGTTAAATAGATTGAAGTTTGTGGAGATTTTCAAAACCACATAATTTATAAATATTAAAGTCGATTAAGCAAATAAGCACCCTTTTTGTAAATAATTGAACATTATACCTTTTGTGTCATAATTGCAGGCATTTCCTAGTTACCTAATATTTTTTTAATCTGGACTAAATAAACTGAAATCTTCCCCCACAGATTCTAGAAGCCCCCATAAGTGGGTGTTCAATCCATTGTATCTGGGAAGAATATGTAGCCTTTTCTTGGGGGCTAATTCTAAGACAGTCCCCGGTGACTTCAGAGGTTTACACTTAACTACGAACCTAAAGGTTGGTGGTTTGAAACCACCCAGAAGCACCATGGATGAGAGAATTTGTGAACTGCTTCCATAAAGGTTACAGGCAAGAAACCTCATACAACTGTTAGATTCTGTAACTCCTAAGGTCACCAGGAAGCAGGATCTATTTGAAGGAATTTTTAAATGGGGCATTGAACTCCTGGACTTACTATTTCTATTAATATCATGGATGAGGGAAGAGTAAGGTCAATAAAATTTCCAATTATACAAAATTGGACAAAGAAGCAAGCACCTGGAAGGAATTGGATCCATTTAAGCATTTTTTTATTTTTGCTTTTCCTGGAGAACGTGAACGGCAGTTTAAATAAGAGCAAAATGGTCGGAGTGAGACTTTGGTCATGATAAGAGTTCCTTATGTTATCATTTGCCATTCGGAAGGGGAAAAGTCCTCTTCTTTGTTTTACTTTCCACCGTACAGGTAAGTACAACTGTCACTCGGGACATGAAAATGGATGGCTGGTAAGGTGTCATCCACGCAGTTCCAACACCTAACACCCCCATCTACAACAGAGCAAAACACTGCCTGGTCTGGACCATCCTCACAATCTGTCCTTGGTTTGCGCCCCATTGTTACAGCTGCTTTGTCAACTCATCTTGTCTAGGGCCTTCCTCTTTTTCACTGCCCCTCTAATTGACTAAGCATCATGCCCTTCTCCAGGGACTGGTCTCTCTTGACAACATGTCTGAAGGACATGAAGTGAAGTCTCACCATCTTAGCCGTTAAGTCCAACCCTGACCATACTTCTTCCAAGACAGATCCGTTTGCTATTTTAGTAGTCCATGGTCTTTTTAATATTCTTTGTCAGTACCATAATGCAAATGTGTTTATTCTTCATTTGTCTTCCTAATTATCTTATCCTAATGATTAGTCTCTACTAATCATTCTTCCTAATTATCTCCCTAATTCCAACTTCCACTTCCATGTGAAGCCATCAAAAATACCATGGTGTGGGTCAGACAGACTTTAGTCCTCAGAGGGACGTCCTGGCTTTTCAACACTTTGAAGAGGTCTCATGCTGCAGACTCCTCCAATGGAATGTCTCCGTGTGATTTCTTGGGTGCTACTTCTATGAGCACTGCTTGCAGGTCCAAGCAAGAAGAAATCCTTGACAACTTCAATCTTTTCTCCACGTATCATGATGTTGCCTATAGATGCAGGTGTGAGGATTTTTGTCTTCATGGTTTTTAGGGCTGTGGCAGAAGAATGGGGTAGAGAGAAGAGGTCCAGGGGTTATGTGGAGTAGTGAATGGCTCCTTACTCTGAAATGCAGCTTCATACTACCATTTCCCCGAAAGTAAGGCATCCCCCCCGAAAATAAGACACTGTCTTATTTTCAGATGTCTTATTTTCGGGGCAACAGGGTAGGCTATTCTGAAAATATAATGCCTTCCAGGAATGTTGGCATATTTTATTGACATTCTCACACTTGGCTGTGCCTCCAATATTTTGCTCCATTCAGGTGTTTAACACAGAAGTATAAGGAAAATATAGTAGATCCAAAGACTATCAAGAGAAATTCCAAAGAGGTTAATGTGAGGAATGCTTGAGGACAGTATTCAGCACAGAGAAGACAAAATGAAAAGACAACATTTAAATCCAAGAACATCTTTATGGTTTATTATGGGAAGGGTAGTCAGCAGCTCTTCAATATTGTTATTGAGTATAGAAAATGCACCATCATATTTTTCTCTATTGTTAGCTTTTTCAATTATTATTATTATTATTAAAATAAAGAAGAGTACCATCACCTAACCATGAAGCTGGGGTGAATCGCTTCCTATCTGGGTAATTTAAGATTATAATTCCCCACTATCCTCTTCTTCCTCTCCCAATCCTCCCTTTCCTTGTTTTCCTCTCTTCAATCCTTCTCTTTACCTTTAGCCTTTCTTACATTCCCTCTTTGATTCCTCCCCTTCTTCTAAAAAATCTGTAGCTATGGCTAATGAAGTGTTTTGTGGTTGTTACTACTAGCATCCGGACAGAGATTAAAACTGCTGCTAAGAAAACTTTAAGTCCACCTAATTCATAAATGTCACCTTGGTGTTCATATTACTCAATAGAATATTCAGGGTGTATCTGTATTATACTTTACAATGTGATGGTGTAGTGGATGTCAAACGTTGAGAGTGTCTTTCAGATAAATAAAATAGTAACCTATTCCACTTCCTTGTAGGTCAAATGGCAGGCGACCACACAAGGCTGGAGTTCCACAACATAGAGACTGGCATCATCACGGAACGGCGATACCTGTCTTCTGTCCCCTCCAACTTCATTGGTCACCTGCAGAGCCTGACATTTAATGGGATGGCGTACATTGACTTGTGTAAAAATGGCGACATAGATTATTGTGAGCTCAATGCCAGATTTGGCTTCAGGAACATCATAGCTGACCCTGTCACCTTCAAGACCAAATCAAGCTATGTTGCCTTAGCTACATTGCAAGCCTACACCTCTATGCATCTTTTCTTCCAATTCAAGACAACATCCCTAGATGGACTAATTCTATATAACAGTGGGGATGGAAATGACTTTATTGTGGTTGAATTAGTTAAAGGGTAAGTATACATCAGTTCAAATGGCACATGTGTAAAACCTGGGGAAAATGAACTTCAGTCCCCGAAATAGACATGAAGAAAAATGCATTGGAGGATTGGGGGGGTGGGGGGGGGTGTTTCTTATATCTGTTTGAATTCTTTTCAAAATGTCTTCTGGAGTTGATCGGGATTCAGTATATATTTTCCCCTTACACTTCTACAGTAGCAGTACAAATAACATTGGATTACAGTCCATGAGATGCATTTCATCAGGCTTGCATGTTAAATACAGACTTCGTGCCATGCAGACGGTCATTCCACAGAAGAATGTCTACAAAAAGTTTTGTCATCAATTTGTGCTAACAAGTTAATTCAAGTAATCAGATTTCTTCATTTCACACAATGCCCGTGAACTCAAATTTAATTTGGTCAGCAATCCCTGAAAAATGAATTTAAGGAAGATTTGGGGGGGGGAATTTTCTTTCAACTAGGTTGAAAATTGGATATCTTTTAATTGATTCAAACTTTTATGGATTGATTCAGCAAATATGATTGCAGTTGTATAAGAAGCTAGGTGCTAGGTGATTGCTAGACACTAAGGAGATTTAGAAATAGATGTTCTTTGTCATCGCTCTATACATCTCCAATCCCCATCCATCCTAGCTACACACACACACACACACACACACACACACAGCACTACCAGCAGATGTGCACCTAAATAGATAAGGAAACACTATTCAGCATGCCTGAAGATGAGCATGAGCCAGGCTCAGGAGAGTGCTGAGAGAGATGAAAAACATGTATGGACCTGGGTGACGATATAAGCTGAGTCTTGCAGGATGCTTGCAGTACCCAGCTCACACATAGAAGCAGATTTTCTAGAAGATAAAGAAAACCTGGTGCAGAAATAGAATCAGCATGGTTGGCAGAGGCTAGGAGGAGGAGTGGAGGGGAAAGAAAGGTGTGGTTCATAGTGGCCTGTCCAAACCACACAGCGGAATGTAGATCATGATTTTAAAAATAATGTCCACTATTTTTCTAGAGTAAAATGGTGAGAATCCCATTTGCTGAAGCAAAGTAGTGTTCCTTGCCTTCTTGTTAGAGAAACCTCTGTAAGCGTCACTTCCAGATCAGATGGGGCGACCAGGAAGCACGTATCTAGTTATCTCATGCCTCGTGTGACGCCGTCAAGAACTCGAGCCGTGACGGCCTTTTGCCATGTTCTCGTTCTTTCCCCAGGTACTTGCATTATGTGTTTGATTTGGGAAACGGTGCTAACCTCATCAAAGGAAGCTCAAACAAACCTCTTAATGACAATCAGTGGCACAACGTGATGATTTCAAGGGACACCAGCAATCTCCACACTGTAAAGATCGACACGAAGATCACCACTCAGATCACGGCAGGAGCCAGGAACTTGGATCTCAAGAGTAAGTTGATCCTCCTTCAGTGGGCAGGGACTCTCTCCTCTCACAGAACATCCTTTGGTTGCGATGGGCGGGTGTATGTGTTAGAAGGAGCCCTGGTGGCTCAGTGGATTGCCCATTTACAGCCATAGAAACCCGAAGGGGCAGTCCACTCTGTCCTATACGGTCACCATGAGTCAGAATTGACTCAAGGCCAGTTGGTCTTTGGTTTGGTTCTGTGTCGGTGTGGATGTACACTTCCTTGAAAGATGGACTAGAATTGTATTTCCACCGCATAAGCCCCTGGAGGGTCCATAATTAAAATGCTTGACAGCTGACCAAAAGATCCATAGTTCAAAACTGCCAGCTCCTCCAGGAAGGGACACGGTGGCCGTCTCCTTCTATAAAAGTGCCAGCCCCGACAATCCTCCGGAACCCACCTACTCCGCCGTATTCGGTTGCTGTGCTTCAGAAAGGGCTCTCTGCCAGTGGGTTTGGCTGGGTTGGGTTCCCATTTTGATGTGGCAGAAACGAGTGTTTTTTAATAACAGAATAAAAAGTGCACCAGCTAAGAATAAATGCATGATTAAAATTGGAAGAGCTTGAGACATGTATCATCTTATAATGAAAAGTAAGGATTCGCAGGCTCCTCTGAGCTCAACATTTCGTCACTGGATTTGAAGTCAACGCAAGCAAACAGAAGAGGAATATTGTAGAGCTTATTCCTTTTCTTGCCCTGCTGACTCTTCCCGGGGACTTCCAGTCCGCCGAGCCTGAGTCTGGCTTATACCTGTGCCTCAGACAGTGCACTCCACCCCGCCAAGCCCCAGTCTCTCTCTCTCTCTC